TGAGAGGACTGTGCCCTCTCCTCAGTCCAAGGCTTGAACCTGTGCAGACACTGTAGCTGCTCCCCACACAACATGATCTGTCATAGCAAAACAGTGGAAATGCGGAACCTGTCCCAAATTATTCCATGGCTTATCAGTGATGGGGAACCTTTTGAGCTCGGCATGTCAGCATTTTGAAAAACGCTAACTTAACTCTCGTGCCGTGTCACATATATAAATTTTTTGATATATGCAACCATAGTAAAACAAAAATTTATATTTTTTATATGTATTTTATATATTTAAATGCCATTTAACAAAGAAAAATCAACCATAAAAATGAGTTCGGGTGTCACCTCTGACACGCGTGTCATAGGTTTGCCACCACTGGCTTATGTCAACAACAAACGGATGTGGGCCAGGAGACTAATGACTCTGTGCAGGACAATAATTATGCAGAACTGTGAGTGTCATGTCAGAATGCGTATGCTGTCTGTTGTTAAATGCAAAAAAAGAAACAAAAATCGTACATGTCTGTGATCGTTACCGAGTAAAAAGAAATAGTCACAGAATAAGAGCATGTACCAAACTGCCTGTGGACGGAGTCCTGGGTGCCTCCTTCCTCCGTGTCCCTTTCTGTGCCCGTGCACCTCTACAACCTGAACAATACGGGTGGGGACCTCTGAGGACCCGAGGTTGGGACAAGGAGACCTTCTCAGAGGGAGGTCGGAAAGGAAAATGTAACCGATTTTGGAATCTCACCCTGCCTCCTGCTCCCACTGACACAGTGGCGTGTTCCTCTACATTTTCCAGCTCTCAGTTTTCCCCACTCATAAAATGAGAGAGAGAGAGAGAGAGAGAGAGAGAGAAAAGAAGAAGAAGAAGAAGAAGAAGAAGAAGAAGAAGAAGAAGAAGAAGAAGAAGAAGAAGAAGAAGAAGAAGAAGAAGAAGAAGAAGAAGAAGAAGAAGAAGAAGAAGAAGAAGAAGAAGAAGAAGAAGAAGAAGAAGAAGAAGAAGAAGAAGAAGAAGAAGAAGAAGAAGAAGAAGAAGAAGAAGAAGAAGAAGAAGAAGAAGAAGAAGAAGAAGAAGAAGAAGAAGAAGAAGAAGAAGAAGAAGAAGAAGAAGAAGTGGAGGAGGAGGAACGAGATGAGGAGGAGGAGGAGGAGGAGGAGGAGGAACAGAGAACAGAAATGCCTACTTCACACGTGTGCAAAGGGACATGAAAATGGTTCTGAGCATATCACAGGTGACAAACAAGGAGAGAGGAAGAAGGTTTTCAGAAAGGATGGCGCTGGCACGTAGACAGGACACTAGAAACCATTGAGGCTCTGCCACAAGTGAGCACCAGAGTTCGGAGGTAGAGAGAACAGTGGGAGTGGAAACGGGGGTAGGTGAGCTCCTATTCTCACCGTGTGCCTGGAAGGGGCCTCCAGAGGAGAGGTGGGAGGAGGGAGGAGTCCCCTGTGTCTCAGAGCCTGGAAAGATCAGCAGGTTCCTGGTACCCTGGGCTCCCTGGGCAATCACCACAGACCCTGCTGACTGAGGGTCTTCTCCAACCAGCTGTGATAGGCAGTTAGGCAGACATGAGCGGAGCAAGGACAACAGGCCGGGCACAGAAGGTCACCAGGGCAGAGAGCCCAGGTGCCTAGCAAGGGGCAAAATTGGGAAAACAAGGACCTCACCCCCAGGATAACCCACCCCCTGGCCCCCCAGCATATGGCTGGTCATGCAGTTTTCCTCCCTATGGATAACATCTAGGCCTCAGCTGTATTTTGTCAAGTAACACTCCCTCCACGTTCTGCGTGGAGTAGGGTTCGGTACCTGAAAGAGGAGCCGCACAACAAATGAGAGAAAAAGACACGAGATAATTTTGCAATATTGGAGGACCAGGCGGGCAAGTCCCGAAGGACTT